TTTGACATAGGGTGCAGGCAGATTACGGGCCTCACATAGCTGCTGCCAGGCCCCTAATCTGCCATGGGCCCCTATATACCGCCTCCTCATGCTGCTGCCAAGTCTAGAGTCTCTCATGGGTCCCTGTACGGCCTCCCATTGCTGCTGTCTCCATCGCCACACTCTCTGCTGCCATGTGCCACTTTCAGGTCTCTTCACACTGCTGGTGTGTTAAATTTTTTGACATAGGGTGCAGGCAGATTACGGGCCTCACATAGCTGCTGCCAGACATGTAATCTGCCATGGGCCCCCGTACCGACTCCTCATGCTGTGACGTTGCAACAAGGTGGAATTCAACCCTACATATGTTAGACCGCCTTTACGAACAGCTAAAGGCCATCACAGATTTCCTGATGTTAAAAGCGGATAAAGGTACTCCCTGTGTAACTTAGATGTCAGCCCATTGGCAGCTCATGTGTGACACCTGCGCTTGCTCAGGCCCTTTGAGGAGGCCACGCTATTCGTGAGTCGGCAGGACTATGGGATGAATGAGGTCAAATCGGCCATGGGCCCCCGTACCGCCTGTTCACGCTGATGCTGGTCCCACAGTGTGACCTGGGTCCCTGTACGGCCTCCCATTGCTTCCACTCTGCCATGTGCCACTTTGAAATCTCCTCACACTCCTGCGGTTGTCCATTTTGTCATAGGTTGCTGGCAGATTACAGGCCTTCCATAGGTGCCACCAAGCCCCATATCGGCCATGGGCCCCCGTACCGCCTGGTCACGCTGCTGCTGGGCCCATAGTGTGACCTGGGTCCCTGTACCGCCTCCCATTGCTCCCACTCTGCCATGTGCCACTTTCAGGTCTCCTCACGCTCCTGCTGGTTTCCATTTTGTCATAGGTTGCTGTATGGCCTCCCATTGCTGCTGCCTCCACCGCCACACTGTGGCTCCAAACACTGGTTTTGGCCCCGTGACTGGCCAAAGGAGTGAAGTGTGCAGTGATTCTAAGATCGACGGCACTCATCTGCATGTCATACTGATTCTCAAGAGCGAATAAATTCAGTTCCTCTAATATTTCCTCATAGCTGAGCTCCTCCATGCCTCTTATCAGTTTGGTTGCCCCTCTCTGTACTTTCTCCAGTTCCCCAATGTTCTTTTTGTGAATTGGTGCCCAAAATTGAACTGCATATTCCAGATGAGGTATTACTAATGATTTGTACCGGGGTAATATGATATCTCTCTCTGGAGTCTATACCTCTTTTAATACAAGAGAGGATTTTGCTTCCTTTAGAAGCCTCAGCTTGGCATTGCATGCCATTATTGAGCTTGTGAGCTTACCCCAGTAGGGGAATGAGAAAAAATCAACGTGTTTTCGCACCTCTCTAGAACTTAATCATGTTTGTCATGATTAAGTGCTAAAGCAGAGCGAAACACTTTGACTTTTCTCGTTCCCCCACAGGCTTGGTTACTGTACTATTTTGTTTAATACTTACAAATAAAGATGGAAGGCCAATTGAGCTACATGCACTGCTTGTATTAAGAAAAACCCAATGACATAATATATTTATAAATAAATAATTATTAATAAATGCAGTCATTTGTATACCTTAGCCTGGAATTCATCTTTGAGGAACAAAGTCAAACTTCCGTTTCAGTAATGCAATCTCTGCCTATATGAAACAAAAGTACCTCTGTTACAATCTTCTTGGGTTACCCCTTGAGGCAATATCACACCCATTGGTTTTTAAAGGGTGTGTAAACCCTAACAATGGACTTTATGTATTTGGTTCCTTTTGTGTTGTTACATATATTATTGAATGTATTTTATATTTGTTTGATTTGTGCAAAAAAAAAACGGTTGTTCCTGCCAGAAATCTTGTTAGGTGATAACTTGCTGTGCTACAATTTGACCTTCGACTGCCGAAGCAGCAAAGTAAAGCGGCTTTGAGGGACCAGTCACAGAGAGGAAGAAGCCTGCCTGAGTGAGGAATAAAGTCACTGTTCCTTTTCCTCTGGCCAAACAAACATTTACACCCATGCAGTATTGAGGGGACCCCAATGCAAAGTTTCCATTGTTCCCAGCTCTGACTACAGAACACCTCCCCTATGTAATGGAGAAGAGAGGAGGGGAAGGTTCCTATGGTATGGTAAGTTGATGTTATCACCCTAGAACAGGATAAAAAAAAGCCTGAAAAATACAAAGCGTACATCCACCAAATCTACAGATTGATAAACTACTTTGTATATATATGAGGTGTGTGACAATTTAATTCCCAGAATGCTTGCGGCATAACACTATGGGGGTGAGTCACACAGCCGTGCGTGTCCTAACCTGTGCTTGCCTGGCTTGCAGACCAATTGACTCAGTCTTTACGGAGTAGTAGAAGAAATAACAACCCCTTATTTCTTATTTTCATAGAACAAGCCCCTCCCCCCCTCCAAAATGTCCCCTCCTTGCACAAAAATCCCCAATCATTCCTGCTAGCACAAATCCCTCCTCCCTGAAACAAATTCCCCCCTCCCAGTACAAATCATCCCCCTCCAATCCACCTCACCCAGCATAAATTCTCCCCAATCCCCCATCCTAGCACAAATCCCCCCCAAATGTCTCCTTCTAGCGCAAACCCCCCAATCATCCCTGTTAGAATAAATCCCCCATCCAAAAAAGTAGACCACTAATCTGCATGTTTTTCCCCCAAGCATAAATTCACAACAAATCTGCCCCTGCTGAAATCCCTCCTCCCAGTACAAATCCGCCCCCTGTTGAAAATTTCCTTTTCCAGCAGAAAGGACACTGCTATGGGCAGGGCTACCCCCATAGCAGTGTCCTCTACAGCCTTTCACCTCCCCCACCCAGTAGTGTCCTCTGCTTCCCCTTTCCCCCCTAGCAGTGTCCTCTACTGCCCTTCACCTCCCCCACCCAGTAGTGCCCACTGCCCTCCTTTTCCCCATACTAGTGACCTCTGACCCCCTTCTCCCCCTAGCAGTGTCCTTTGCCCCCCCTTTTCCCCTTAACAGTGACCTCTGACCTCATTCTCCCCCCCAGCACTGTCCTCTGCCCCCCTTTTCCCCATAGCAGCGACCTCTAGCCCACCCTTTCTCCCCACCAGCAGTGTCCCTCTCCCCCCCTCCCCTTTCCCTCCCATGGGCAGGTATTTTAAAAACCTGAACTCACAGCAAGTGGCTGGAGATTGGGATTTTTCTGCTCCCACCCTGCTTAGGCAGCCGCCTTAGGGCACCATGGTAGCTGAGGGGCAGAAAAATCTGCTCCTCCCCCTCCCACCAACGTACAGCTGCTGCAGGAGGATAATCCAAGGGCTCAATTCTAGTAGACGCCTCTCCTGGTGCCCCTCCCGTCCCTTTTCCTCCTTTTTTCTGCTGCCTGACCCTTCCCCCAAGTGCTCACCTTTCAACAGGACTCCTAAAGAAATTGTGAAAAATATCTACTGACACCATCCACTGCTCTAATGACTGGTAGCAACCTCTGCCCTACTGACACCATCCACTGCCCTACTGACTGACACCATCCACTGCTCTACTGACATCGTCCACTGCCCTACTGACTGACACCGTCCACTGCCCTACTGACTCACACTGTCCATTTTTAAGTTTGTATTTTTACAATGACATTTGTTTTATTATATTTGTCTACATTTTCCTTGCTATTTAGTTAGGCTTTGCTGGTTATTTGCACCCCTGCTCTAGTTGGTGCAAATACCATAATAAATAATCTTTACAACATGGTCTCTTACAATCTTCTTTAAATAACTCTTTGGTAATTCCTAGGGTGACATGGTTGTGGCACCCCTCAGTAAGTAGGATGTTCAGCCCACTTCCCACGCTATGGCCCACAGGAAAACTGTACTGTATTTTTCCAGATGGTGAGCCAGTGACCCCCATAGCCATTTTTGCTATGCTTTAGGTTCCTAATCATTCTGACCCTAGGCCATGCCAGGATTCATATCAAAATATACCCTTAAGAGACTTCATTCTGACTTCAGTGGTTACAGGCCAGTTGCAAAGGGGTCCCATCAGACATCTGAGGTCCATAAAACATGTGGGCCTGGGTCATCAGCTGCATAACACACACAAGAGAACCATTTGCTTTACCACCAGGTGGGCAGACCTTTCCTAGTCAAGCCCACAACTCATTCCCAGCCCAAACCAGGGTTCTTCTTCCACACTCCCCATGTATTGGCTGTTCCATGTCATCTTTCAAAGATTAGTAGTCTGACCCAACACTTCTAACACTGCACTCCTTGCCATACGTGCTTCCAATCCCCACTGTGTCCACTAAGGAGACGTAGTTGGTTTAAAACTATGACTGTTGTAGTCAGGTGCTTGGCTAAGATGGAGAATAAGTGAAACACTGGCTGCAGATGCTCTGTATAGCTACTACTATGACAGTGCTGAACTGGTTAATGGCTGTTTCCAGTGAGAGGAGAGGGAGCTGCTGAGCAGGAGGAGTTCAATAGACCGAGTCATGTACTGTGCACTGTACTGTGGGAACTGTAGTCCAAAGAGATTGTACTGTGTAACCAAGAGCTTGTGAACTACATTCCCCAAAGATGGATTGCTGGGAGGAGGGGAAAGAACTGCATTTCCAGGGCTGTACAGGACACAACTTTCTCTTGCTGTGATGGAGACCAGAGAGTGCACATTGAAATCCAGTGTGCGCTATCACTTGCTGCATATTGAGCTGTGAAAATGTGGAAATAAAACTCCCTCAAGAGTTGGTTCTGGCCAGCTCAGTGGATTGCTTTAAAAAAGGCCTGAATTATTTTCTAGATACGCATAATATAACTGGATACTAACATTTATCCACCTTCCGCCTGCCCTATAGTACAAAGGTGGTTCTCTCGTTCTGATAGGACATCATATGAGTCCTACCCATTCTCACTTGCGCATGCAAACGGCTCAGGAGCGCGCAGCGCAGCAATCGCCGGTGCGCTGTGTCCCCTCGGACACAGCGGATCACAGAGCCGAAGATGTCGGCTCGGTCAATGTGATCAGCTGTGTCCAATCACAGCTGATCACATATAAACATAGAAATGCCTGTTATCGGCATTCTCTCTCTCTTTTTTTTTTTTTTTTTCTCGAGCTGACAGCGTGACAGCTCGAGAGAGAGACTGCCGGTAATCGGCTTTCAGCGGAGGGGAACAATGTAAACACTGATCATCAGGGCACTGATGATGTGTGTGCCCTGATGATCAGTGTGGCCCCAGAAGTGCCACCTGTCAGTGCTCATCAGTGCCATGTGCCAGTGTCCATCAGTGCCACGTGCAATGCTCATCTGTGCCACATCAATGCCACATATCAGTGCATACCCAATGCACATCAATGCCACATATCAGTGCCCATCTGAGCTGCCTTTCAATGTCCCACCCATCAGTGCCAGTCATGCCACCTATCAATGCCAATCAGTGCCACCTTTCATTGCTGCCAAATCAGTGCCACCTATCAGTGCCAGTCAGTGTCGCCTATCAGTGTGCATCAGTGCCAGTCAGTGCCGCCTATCAGTGCCAGTCAGTGCTGCCTTTCACCTAACAATGCCAGTCATACCGCCTATTAGTGCAGTCAGTTGCTGCCTATCAGTGCCAGTTCAGTGCTGCATATCAGTACCACCATATATCAGTGTCATGTATCAGTGTCTAGATGTAATCAGTGCTGCCTTTCAGTGCCCATCAGTGATGCCTGTCAATGCCCATCAGTGCAACCTACCAGTGCCTCCTCATCAGTGCCCATCAGTGCCACCTATCAGTGTCCATCAGTGGCAGGCTATCAGTGCCCATCACTGCAGCCTCATTAGAGCACATCAGTGAAGGAGAAAAATCACTTATTTACAAAAATTGTATAACACCAAAACTAAGAAAAAACTTTATTTTTTTCAAAATTTTCATTGGTTTTTGGTTTGTTTAAGAAAAAATAAAAATCCCAGAGTTCCAAAAGAAAGCTCTATCTGTATCAAAAAAATGATAAAAATTTCATTATGGGTACAGTGTTGCATTGACCGCGCAGTTGTCATTCAAAAGTGTGACAGCGCTGAAAGCTGGAAAATTGGCCTGGGCAAGAAGGGGGTATAAGTGCCCTGTAGGCGAGGGTTAAAGGTAAGCGTTGATCCAGGGAAAATCCGGTAGCCTCTCAGGAGATCGTGAAGTGAGTTTTTTTTTCCCCCCTCAGGAGAAAATTGGATCACTGCTTTGCTGTTTTTTTTTGCCTATCCTCTGGATCCACTACTGGGTTTAGGTTATATAACTTATATTTTTTTCATGGTTGAAACTGTGATGGACTTTTGTCTTTTTTGGTTCAGCCAGACTAACTATGTTAACCAATAAAGGCTTACTGAGGAGGTAAGCCGCTACAAGGCCTTTAACTGCATACGCAACAGTACATCAATAGTTGGTAAATGTATTCAAAAAAACAAGGTTTCCAAAGATATATGGTGAGCATTTGTTCAAAAATATGGTAACACTCCAAAAGGACATTTCAGATGTATAAAGTTATAGTACCAATGTTGGGATGGAAATTGAGAGGCCAAGCATAAGAGATGTAACCACCAGCAACATCTGGAGTGCACTATTCGGAAAGGCCTGCCTGAGCCAGTACCCTAACCACATATAGACTCGCACCATCTGGGGAAGGCAACACACCAGGCATCCCGGGGGTATACTAGTGAGGAAGGAACAGTAATGCAAAGTTGGACTGTTATTACTAAATTTTTGTAAATTTAAATTTCCTCATTAACTTTTTCAGGGCCTGGCCTGAAGTTTTTTAAAAAAGGGGGGGTTTTTAAAAGGTACAGGGTTTTAAAACTAAAAAAGAACGGGGGCCAAAAACACAAAAGGGGTTTAAAAGGGGGAAGGGAAATTTAAAAGGTCATCAGGAAGAGTTTACCGAAAGGGGAAATTTGCAGGAAGAGTGTATTTGCTACAGATCACCTTGGAATGGTAATAGCGCCAAACAGCGAAGAGGGGAAACCGGGGCAAGGGGATGACAGGTCCCCCCCGTTTAGTGAAAACGTTGGGTTTTTCTGCTTTTTTAAACCCAAACTATATCCAGGCTCCCTAGTGGTTTTGCCCTCCTCAAAGGTGAAAAGTGCAAATGTGGTGGGGGCCCCTGGTTTCCAGGTTTCCGGGAAGTGAAACTTGAGATGTTTTACTGGGGGTTACATCTTAAAAGCTTTCTCTTGTTGAAAAAGTGAGCCCCCAACAAAAGTCTTCCCCACCTTTTAAAATGGAAAGCACGGGGTGGGGGGCCCAAGCCTGGAAATGCCCAGGAAAAATGGTAACCTAGCTTATCCCCTTCCCCCCTGGGAAAAAGTTTAAAGAAACAAACAAAACCTGACACATTTTAAGCTGTAAGCACCTGCCTACGGAGGTAAAAATTTTTCTTATCTTTAGGGGAAATTTTTTCCCATGGCTGGGAAATTTGATTTTACATAAAAATTGCGGAAGTTTAAAATAAATTTGTTTTTAATTTTTTGATTGAGCGGCAGGGGCTTTCCCCTCTTTTAAATAAACTTTTTTAACTTCCTCCAGTTTCTGTTTTTTTTAAAACCCTTTAAATTAACATTAGATAAAAAGGTCCTTCTTAAAGGGGAAAATTTGCGCTCCCTTTGAGCATCGAAAAAACAAAAAATGCTATTTTAATTTCCTTTTTTTAATTTTCAAACAAACTCACCAAACCCATCCATGCCCCATATTTTATTTTGCTGAGAAATCATTTTGAAAAAACACCCCCAAAATTTTCGGCCGTGGCCATCTTGAAAAGGGAGCAGATGTTTCATGTAAAAATTTATTTTCCGGGAAAACCAAACCCCCTTTAAATTTTCGGGAATTGGGCTGGGGCTGAATCCCTTCCCTCCTCTCCAAAAAGACTCCGGGGATGTAGGGACATAAATTCCCCAAAAAGGGTTTAAAAAACCAGGGGGCAATTTAAGAAAATGAAAAGAACATAAAAAAAAAATGAAAAAAGTACATCGATATATTTTCCCTTTTACCTTTTTTATTAATGTTTAAGCAGCATAAAGATTAAAAATACCAATGTTGATTGAAGGGGTGCATTTTCCGCTTTAAAAAAAGGTGTTCTTGAACTCTCCCTTGGGGTGCTAAAGATGGACCCCCAAAGGGGTTTCTTTTATGGCTCTGTGTAGTGTTCCCCCACATTTCAAGCGCCCTTTTATGCCGGTTTTAAAAATAAAACAAATTGATAAGTTCTGTAATCAAAAATACACCATAAGCAGGGGGCGGATTTGACCTTTTAAAAACTTGGGAAACTGCCCGGGGGCCGGGGGTCGTGGGGGGCCCCCCAAAAGGGATGCCCCTGGAAACCTTTTTTCATGGGGCTTTTTTGATTTTGGGGCAAGGACCCAGGGGCCCCATGTCCCCTATTGCCCGGGGCCCCATAAATTGACATTTCCCGCCTTGACCATACGTGAAAATTTTTTAAAAAACAGTGCGGAAGTCCCTTTAAATTTGACCTAGAAACACCCCAATTTGGCATCCCGGGACACAGACCCTTGGAGTGTGTAGGAATAAGCAGCCCCAAAGAGCCAAATCATTTTCATGCAATATTTTTTGGGCACCACTCTTTTTAAATTTCCCCCAAATTTTTGGGGGCTCCGGGGGGCTTTCCCACAAACAGGAAAAGGGCGGGCTTTTCTACAATGGGGGGGTTTTTGGGGTTGGTGGGTTAAACATAGAAACTTTTTCATAGTTAATCTGGGGGGAAAAAGGGAAAAAAGGGCCTTCCATTTAAAAAGAAAAGAAAGACAAAACATTGCTGTAACTAAAAATGTGAAAGAGCACCCCTGGCAGTTTTAAAATTAGTTTGGACCAACCCATCAAAAGGTCTTTTTGGGTTTTCCCAACCCTTGGTGTTTAAATTAAAGGGGGGAAGAAAAAAAGTGAAAAATTTGCATGGGGAAAAAAACAAAAAAATTCATATAAAAAACAAAAATCATGGGCCAGCATTAACCACAGAATTTTTTTAAAATATTTTAAAAATCTTTGGCCCCTTTAACTAAAGGGCCAGTTTTTTTGGCACAAAACGGGGATTTTCAAAACGATCACAACAAATTTTCCCTAAAACCTTTGAGCACCCCTCAGAAAGAGCAAGGGGGGAAAAGAAAATACTTTAAGAGATGATTTTTTAATCTTTTATATTTATAAACATTTATCTTTCCCAATTTCTTAAAAATTTATTTTAAGGGCCCCCTTGTTGGGAAGCAATTATCCAGGATCATGGCTCCCAAGCTGCGCCCATGTTTCGGGTTTATAAAATTTGGAGCGGAAAAAGGTTTTCTTTTTTAAAAGTGACCCAAATGGCACTCACCCCCAATCACTTTTTTCGGGGAAAGGGGAAAAGGACCCCCCCTCCCCCCCGCCGTTTCCGGATTTTCCGGTCCCAATTCCCTGTGCAGGGGGTCGGGGAAACCTGTAAAACCCATTTGAAATTCCTTTGTGGGGAACGGCTGCAAACAATGAAGGCAAGGTAAAATTGTGCCTTTCCCCCTCCCGTGATAATGAAGCTGGGGGCAAAAAGGGTTTTGGGGCCCACTTCCATTTTGGTTTGTTTTCCCCAAAAACTTTTACTGGTTTTGAACAGCAATAAAAATAAAAAACCGATTTTGGGTTTTTAATTTCATTTTGGGGAAGAGGAGAGACCTGGGTTTCAAACAGACCCCAGATCTCCATAAAGAATACCGTCATTTCCCCCCAAAAAGCTATCAAAAAGGGGGTTCCCAAAACCCCTTTAATAGAAATAAATTTTAATCAAAAACATTTAAAGAAAAAATGCTGAAAAAGTAAAAAATTTATATTTAAAAAATTTTAAAAAGACCCCCTGCCCCCCTGGGGGTGAAAATTTTTCAAACCCCTAACTCACAAATGTAACCCCACACATGGGAAAAAATTTCATAAATTTTCAAAAATTTCCCAAAATCCCCAGATCTTCTGTAAAAACCTCTACATTTGGTTTGGGTGTGGCGGGGTTGGTTTAAACAGGGTGGTCGTCATGCCCCTCCTGTTTCCCCCCCCGTTTGGGGCCCCAAAAGCAAGAGTCACAAGAAAGTTTCTACCCAGGGGGGTTTTTTTTCTGGGCTAACGCTAGGCTTTTTGGGGTGCAGGGCCCACGGGCCATACACATGGGGAAACCCCAGAGACAAACATGAAAAAACCCTTCTAGAAAACCTAATTGCAAAGCACAACATGGTCACTTGTGCATTTAGGGGGGGAAACATGCAAAAATCAATGCCCTCTCCCATTTAATGGGTTTGGGGCCCCCACCACGCACCCAGCTTGGACTCCAAACGGGCATTTCCCAACTTAACTCTTATTTTTTTTCCGTACCTGTGTAAAAAGGTTTGGGGGCCCTGGCCGTGCAGCCCCCCCTGTTCCCAGTTGCTAGGGAAATGGAAAATTTGCTCAAAGGGAGTGCCAACAACATCTCCATC